ATCAAATAGAATATATTCTCCCATAATGGAATTAAAGTAGAAATCAATAACAGAAAGACAAAAATAAAACTACTAGAAATTAAACAACACACTACTGAGCAATTCATGGGCTTGAGAGAAAGTCTCAAAAAAATTTAAAAATACATGGAACGAAACTAAATTAAGATATAACATATCACCATTTGTGCGCTTCAGCTAAAGCAGTGCTGAGAGGGAAATTTATAGCACTAAATTCTTATAATAGAAAAGAGGAAAGATCTCAAATCAATATCTAAGTTCCTACTTCAAAAAGTTAGAAAAAGAAGAGCAAAATAAAGCCAAAGCAAGCAGATGAAAAGAAATAATAAAAATAAAAGCAGAAATAAAATGAAATTGAAAACAGGAATACAGAGAAAACCAATGAAACAAAAAGCTGGTTCTTCGGGAAAAAATCAATAAACCTCTAGCAAAACTGACATATAAAATGAGAAGAGACACAAATCAGCAATATTGGGAATGAAGTACGGGATATCAATATAGATCCTGCAGCTATTAAAGGATAATAAAGGAATATAACAAACAACTTTGCTCTCATAAATTTGACAACTTAGAAGGAACTGATCAATTTGTCAAAAACCATGAACTAACAAACCTCAATCAAGATGAAATAGATAACCTGAATACTACTATAACTATTAAAGAAACAGAATGTGTAATTTAAAACTCCCCAGAAAGAAGTCCCCTGGCCCAGGTGGATTCACTGGAGAATTTTACCAAACATTTAAGGAATAATTAACGCCAATTTTACCCAATCTCTTCTAGAAAATAGAAGAGGAAGCAACACTTCTCAACTCATGTTATGAGGCCTGTAATATATGGACTCCAAAACCAGAAAGACAGTACAAAAAAATAAAACTACAGACCAATATCTCTCATGAACTTAGAAATAAAAATCCTCAATAAAATATCAAATACAATCCAACAATGATATAAATAATTATATACCACAATCAAGTGGGATTATTCCAAGAATGCAAAGGTGGTTCAACATTCAAAAATCAATCAATGCAATCCATAATATCAACAAGTCAAACAAGAACAATTATATAATCATATCAATGGAAATTTAAAAAATTTGAAAATCTAGCATCCTTCATGTTAAAAAGTCTCAGCAAATTAGAAATAGAAAGGAACTACCTCAGTTTGATAAAGAGCATTTATAAGAAACCTACAACCGGCATCACATTTAATGGTAAATGACTGTATGCTCTCCTCTAAGACAGGGAACAAAGTAAGAATGTTCATTGTCACTACTCATATTCACCAGAGTACAGGAAGTTCTAGCCAGTGCAATTGGCAAGGCAAAAAAAGACATAAAGATCAGAAAGGAAGAAATAAAACTGTCCCCATTTTCAGACTGTCTACGTAGAAAACCCCAAGACATCTATTAAAACAAAATTCCTGGAAACAATAAGTGAGTTCATCAAGGTTGCGGAATATAATACCAACATACAAAACTCAATCACATTTTATATACTAATAATGAACAGTGGAAACTAAAATTAAAAACACAATACCATTTACATTTACTCCAAAAAAAGTGAAATACCTAGGTATACACTTAACAAAACATGCACAAGATTTGTATGCTGAAAATTATAAAAGACCGATAAAAGAAATCAAGGAAGACCTAATAAATGAAAAATCATTCCAGCAAATGGATTAGAAGACTCAGCATAGTAAAGATGTCAGTTCTCTCCAAATTGATATATAAGCTTAATGTAATTTCTATCAATATCTAAGCAAGCTTTTTTATAGACACAGACAAACTTATTCTAAAATTTATATGAAAAAGCACAAACCCTAGAATAGCCAAAACAATCTTGAAAAAGAAAGATAAAGGGAGGAATTATTCTACCCAATATTAAGGCATATTATTTAGCTACATTAATCAAAGCAGTGGTATTGGTGAGTAGACAGACACATGGGTTAATGGAACAGAATAGAGAACCCAGAAATAGGCTCATACAAATATGCCCAACTAATTTTTGACAAAGGTGCAAAATTAATTCAATGGAGAAAAATAGCCTTTTTAAACAAAGTACCAGAGCAATTAGATGTCCATAGGCAAAAAAAAAAACCCAAAAACCAAAAAAACCCTTGACCTAGACTTCATACTTTATACAAAAATTAACTCAAAATGGATCATGGGCTTAAATGTAAAATATAAAGCTATGAAATATTTAGGGGAAAAAACAGGAGAAAAGTTTGTGATCTAGGGCTAGGTAAAGAGTTTTTACACTTGACACCAAAAGCACAATCAGTAAAAGGAAAAATTGATAAATTTGACCTCATCAAAATTAAAAATGGTTGCTCTGCAAAACATCCTGTTAAGACCATGAAAAGACAAGCTACCTACTAGGGAGAAATATTTGCAAATCATATATTAGATACAAAGGACTAGTATGTAGAATATATTTAAAAACTCTCAAAACTCAAGAGTGAAAAAATAAACAGCCCAATTAGAAAATGGAAAAAAGACATGAAGAGATATTTCACCAAAGAGGATATACAGATGTCAAATAAGCAAATGAAGAGATGTTCAGCTTCATTAGCCATTAGGAAAATGTACACAAAAAAAGCCACAATGAGTTACCACTACATAGCTATCAGAATGGCCAAAATAAAGAATAGTGACAATATCAAATACTGACCAGGATGTGGTGAAAATGGATCTCTCATATATCGCTGACAAGAATGTAAAGTGGTATAGTCACTCTGGAAAACAATTTGACTGTTTCTTACAAAATTAAACGTGTAACTACTACACAATTCAATAACTACACTCTAGAGCAGAGTGCAAAGTTTCCAAAGAAATGGAAACGTGTTACAACAAAAACCTATACATGAACATTCACAGTAGCTTGATAGCCCAAATCTGTAAACAACCCAGACATTCCTGAACAGGTGAATGGCTAAACAAATTATCATATACCCACACCATGGAATACTATTCAACAATAAAAAGGAATGAGCTATTGATATATATAAAAACTGAATCAAATTTGATAGAATTATTCTGAGTTTTTCACTCAGCAAATCCCAAAAGCTTACATACTGTATGATTCCACTTACGTAGCATTTTGAAATGACAAAATTTAGAAATGGAGCACAGATTAGAGGTTGTCAGGGGTTAAGGGTGGGGCAAGGTGGAGCACGAGGGAAGTGAGATGGCAACAGAGAAATGCCTGTGGTAATGGCATTGTCCTGTATCTTGACTGTGTGGTGGATACACGAACTTACATGTGTGATAAAACTGCATAGATGTAAGTACACGAAAACATGCAAACGAGTGCAAGCAAAACTGAGAAAATGTAAAAGACTGGTGGATTATAGCATATCAGTATCCTAGTTGTGATACTGTACAACAGTTTTGCAAGATGTTACCATTGGGGGAAACTGGATAAAGAGTACAGGGGATCTTTCTATATTATTTCCTTTAATTGCATGTAAATCTACAATTATCTCAAAATAAAAATCAACAACCCTACAAATCAGAGCTTCCTCGCCACTTCCCTTCCCCTCCCTCCACCCCTAGCTAGGTGTTAAACATTTATCAGCACACAGAACCACTTCTCTTTGGAGAACAGAATTTGGGTTAGGAAAATTTGGTGTGGTTTTTTTCCTGAGTGCCTCACAGAAGACACAGTAGATGGCTGGAGGCAATGGAATAGCCTGTGGCCTTGGGAGGTAGTTTAACTTCCGTAGGCCTTAGTTTTCTGCATCTGTAAACTGGAGACAGTACTAGAGGGAAGGAAAATGAATACTTATTGAGAAACTACTTTATGTCTGTCTCCTTCCCTGATCCTCTGGCAAGCCTGATGAGCACACATAATGAGTCTCCAAGTTTCAGGTGAAGAAACAGAGGCTGAGAGACACGCCTACCAGAGAACAGAGCTGGGGTTAGAGTCCACATCCAGGCACACTTCATTACCGCCTGCTGCCCTAGAAGCCTATCCAACTTCCCGACATAAAACCCTACAAGGCAGCCTCTCCCAGTGGAACGTGAGTTGGTCAGGGAATGCCCGACCCTGTAAGGGGAAGTAGGGAATGCCTGCAAAGGACTCAGCTTGATCCCACCAAGCAGATATGGTTGCATCAGAAGCCACAGACTTCAAGCAGGGCAGCCTCCCGCCATGTACACTGTGGAGCTCCCAGGGACAGCTGCTAATTTCCCTCTGGTTGCTTATTCCCTACTGTTGCCTGCAGTACAAACCAAAAACAGCCCTAAAGGCTGAGCACTCTCCCGTTAGGGGGCAGACAGATGATCACAGGCAGCAGCTGTGCGCCATCGGAACATGGGTACCGACCGTGGATGAAAATGTCCAGGGGTATAACATTGGTGCTGGCTCACGCGGGAGAAGTGTCTCCTTAGGCTGGAGAGTACATTGCCCAACAGAGACTACCTTCCAACCAATCTCCTTGGTGCTTTCCTCACAAACTCTACAGGTTGGCTGCCTAAGATGGTCAAAGGCAAGGCAGTTTGATGGTTAGAGCTTGGGGGGTCAGGAGACATGGACTTCACCCAGCCCTGTGACTTCCTCTAAGACTTTGGACAAGCCATGCACCCCTTCTGGGATTCAATGTCATCATTTATAAGATGAGGGGTTCAGATTAGTTGTTCCCTAGGCCTCTCCGAGCCCTGGCAGCCCTCATGTTCAAGATTAGCTCTTAAGACCTACATGCAGGGCCTGTCCGAATCCACCACTGTTCACAACATTATTGGAACAGAAGTCCTAGTTGAATTTCATTTTTCTTCTGAGGCTGTTTATTGCCTAACAAAATGTACTTAGTGGTAAATTCGTGACTGTGATGTTAAGAGTAGGCTAAAAACCTACAGACTAAAAAAAAAGTTAGGGGAGGGGTGGGGAGCACAAAGCCAGAAGAGGGAGGACTATCCAGAGGGTCGGGAAACCTCAAATTCACAGGAGTGTCTTAAAAACACAGGCACCATTCCTTACTTATTTCACATCCTCTGCTCTGTCTGGGTTCCGCGTGGTCTCCACTTCTTGTTAGCTTTTCAGCTGCATACCAGGCCCCAGCTGGCAGTGGCTAATTGCAATCAGCAGGTGAGAAATGTAGGTTCTCCGAAAAGGAATTATCTCCAGCACTGGGAACCATTCTGGGAAATGTAACAGACCTGGGAAGAAAGGGGGAGATGTTTAAAACCTGAACTTCTGTGAAAAGCATTAATTGAAAAAGACAGCCCCACGCACCAGGAACCCATGACTTGCTCGCCTGAAAATATAATGAAGCAACTTAGTGTGGAAGGAGAGACAGGGAGCATTTCCATTTCTGCAAAAGCAGCTCCTGCCTCGTGCACACAAGCCCTGCCTGCTCTCTTTTTCCGGAAGACCCAGACAGCACAAAGGCTGCTTCTTGTAGTCTAGTCTTTTACCTTTACGTTTTTCTGCAGAGTAAAATCACTGCACCAAGCTGAGGACTTTTCACTTGTTTTTATTTATTTTTTCAAGAAAGATGTAAAGCCGTCTACTCCAAAGTAGAATGATTCAAGGAAGCAAGTTCAAAATCAGCTCACGATCCCTTGAGGTTGCTGAACACCCAAGGCGTTTACTCAGCCTGGTGCCAAGTGACGGGGGCGGGACGTGGGTGCGGCCACACACCCGAAAAGGCTGTTCAGCTACTTGGGGAAGCAAGCCTAGTGTCAAGGAGCAAGTTCTGGAGGTGCCTGTGTCCTCAGGCTCAGGCTGCTCTTGGTGGCGCCTATCAGAGGCACCTGGGGACAGGAGAAAGGCCCCGGGGGAAAAAGGCCCTGTGAACACCCGCCAGCTCACCTACAGAATTGGCTCCTCTCTGTGCCTTATCAGGAAAGGAAGTGAAGAGCGTACCAGAGGGGTGATTTGAATTTCATTTTCTCACTCTGTCCCCCTGTGGGGAACGCTGCATGGTGCTGCACGCTGATTCAAAGAAAATATTCTCTGCTCGCTGGGGTTTAAGGCTAGGCGCGGGCAGCTCACAGGGCACTGGGCTGTGGGTCGCCTTGCCAACCGCCCAGGGTGGGGGAGATCACACAACCACAGCGGAGGTGGAGTCGCCGGGCCGGTCCAGCAACTTTTACGGAGAAGCTGTGTGATTCAGGCAGGCCTCAGGACCCCTGAGGACCACCAAGTCCTCATCTATAAAATAAGCAAATTGCACGGCTTGACTCTTCACCTCACCTCAGTTCTCAGATTCCATAAAAGGCGAGTGATAAGACATGGCTTCAAACACAAAAGAGTCCTTCCCCAGAAGGAATGTTTACTGGAGTTTTTTGGGGAGTGAGGGTGGGTGGCTCGGGTATTCCTTCCTTTTAGTTGTTTGTGGGCCAAAGGGGAGGGAGAGGTTAGGCTCTGAAGCCAATCTCAGATGGAACCCCAGTCCCTGGCAGGAGGTCAGACTAAGGACAGAGACTCTGAGCAGGCCCGCTGGGGAATCTTTGTCCACCTGCGAGGGCCCCCTCCCCTGCTCCCCAGCCACACCATGGACCAAAGGAATGTCAGAGGAGAGATTAAAGTCTCAAGGGGAGGAGATAAAGGGGCCTGGAGACCTTTCAGCCTTGGAGCCAAACCCCAGGCTTTGTGATCAAAAGACAAATAAACAGCCATTCCCACCGGGTTTCTCAAACCTGCTGAGCGGCACAAATGTTTCCTCCTTATAAACAAGCTTACCTGAAGAAGGCGAAGAAAACCAGACCCTGAGAGTGCACGCCGTTTTTGGCAGACCTCTTAGGAGAAGCTGCTGCAGACAGCTTATCAAGTGCTTTTCTCACATCTCTCAGAAATAAGATGTCAAAGTTTGAACATAAACCACGAACAAACAAAATCAGCCCGGTGCTTCATGCAAGCTTCCCCACCCTGACACAGGGCAGATTTCAAATATGAGCTGTAGCATTAGAAGCTGCTGACAGGATTTCAGAGAGGCCTGTGGGTCGAGAAGGTAAGCAGAGAGAGGAAGCCACCCGTGGCCCCTTTCGACAAATACTGGGCTCTGTACCACTGTTACACAGCTCTAGGGGGCGCTATTCTCATCGAAGTCTGTGGAGTTGTGTCTCAGGAGGTGTCAGCGGGGAATACAGTGCTAACAGCATCCTACGGAGTGAGGCAAGAGAAGAGCCCAATGAGCGCCCACTACGTGCCGCCACTTGGGATACACCACGGTACAGAAAGAGCAAGTCTCTGGCTGAGCAAAGCTTACATTCTAATTAGTAAATATACGGAGTGATGGCAGGTGATACCTGCTATAGCAAGAATACATCCGGGAGAGGGCTCAGATTTATAGCCAGATAGTCAGGGAAGGCTCATCAAGATGAAGTGACTTTTGAGCAAAGATGAAAAGGAGTGAAGGAGTGGGTCCTGCCAGGAGGCTCTCTGGGGGAAGACGGACCCAGCTAGAGGGGATGGTGAGTGCAAACGTCCTGAGGTAGGAGAGTGCATGGCAGAGGCAAAGTACACCATGGGAACCAATGGAGCTGGACTGGAAAGACAAGGGGCGTCTCCACAGATCCTGAATGCACTAGAGAATCACAGCACAGCATAGCAGGTGACTCAAGCCACCCCATCAGCCTGCTCTGTGGGCTGGCATCTCAATAGCCATTTCTGGGGGCCTATGGGACTCTCTGGTTCTCCATTAACTAACAACTAATCCCTGATATGGTTCTGTTTAATTACTAACTGACTATGGGTGAATTCAGCTCCACCCCTCTGACATCCTGGACTTCAGACCTCCCAATATTTCATCTTGGGGACAGAGGCATCCTGGGGATGGAAACATGTGGAAAGAAGGAGGGTAACTTAAACGTGTCCCTCCCCAACTCCCCAAATCCCCTGGCAAAAGGTGTCACCATGCACAGAGTGATTCAGTACAAGTTGGCTTGGCCCTCCTCACCAGCTTTCCTACACAAAAAAATGGCAAAACCTCTGGAGAGAATTAACTGTATCCTGGACTCATCTCATGGTGCTCAGAATCTCTCACCCAAACTCAGGATTGATTCAGCGTCTATCATAGTTATGTACTCTGCTCTGGCCCGAAGAGTAATGCAAACACAGTCTACCCTGCGCAATGTGAGGTGAGGCTTGGGGGTGACCCAGGCATTTTGATGACAAATTCTCGGCTGGACACCCTGAGGATTTCCTTGGCCAGAACCTCCTCGTTTATCTTCCAGCATTTATCAGTAGTAGCACTGCACCAGGCAGACAGAGCCTCTAAGCAGAGGCGACACCAGAAACAGGAAGCACGTTGCCCTGGAAGCCTAGGTCCCTGGGTTCTGCAGCAAACAAGGTTGTATGACTGTATCAGTTAGGGCTGGGTCTGAAGCAGAAAACTCTCTGAAACTATAGAGTAAGGGATTTATGACAGAGCAGAACCCTCCGCAGTTGTGGGAGCTGTTAAGCAGGCTGCATAGAACTGCTACCCTGCATCCCTAAGCCTGAAGACAGCAGGGTGGGTGGGAGGGAGGGATGGATGGGTAACCTCTGGCCCAAAGCTGCGCATGCGCCTGCCCTAGCACTCAGAGAAACTGGGGGAGGAGGTCCGGCGGGTGCTGGAGTGGCCGCTGACCACATCAACCATAGAGATGGCTGCTTCTTCCCTTCTACCTTCCAAATCTCACACACATTTCTTTTCTGGCCAACCCTAACTATAGAGGCGAAAGTTCCAGCTTAGCGACTACAGTACAAAGCCACAGCAGTGACTTTGACCTCAGGCCTGTTTCCTCATCCACAACATCTAGAGTTTGGCTTGAAGGAAACTGTTGGGAGCATCCTTGTTATGGCCATAATTTCTTTTCTTTTCTTTTCTTTCCTTTTTTTTCTGGTCACTGGGAGCCAGCAAAGGCAGCACATGGTGCCAGGTCAACCTGCCTGGCATGTGGAGGCGCCAAGAGAGCCCAGGTGCTGTTGTAACATGGGGAGTCTCCACTGGCTGGAAAGAGTCCAGCATCTTGGCCTTAATCCTCGGAGGAGCTCCGCTGTGTGAGCGCATACAGATTGCCTCACTGCCTTCCCCTTCATCCTAGGCCCAGAGGAGTGAGATATTATCATCTGTCTTCCCAGGCAGTAAATCTCAAATCCATCATGCTGCTGGACTGGTCTGAGTCACCTGCTAAGGGGATAGCAGCAGGTGACAAAGCCTGGCCTCTGTTTCTAGCAATCAGGCTGAGAAGTCCCAGGAGGCTGGAGAAAGACTGCACACAGTTCAATTAACAATCCGGACCCAAGCATTTTCACTAGGAGTTCACCTTCCGGGTGATTCCAGAATACTCTAATACAACCTAATGAAAATCTTTCTCAGCAAATAAATGAGAGCATTGTAATCTGTGGAATGCTTTCTGCAAAATATGCTCTCTACAGACCACTCTTAGGTACTCTGGAGGGGAGAGAGAGGAAAAGACCAGACACAATAAAGACAAAGAGATGTAAATAAAGAAAAGAAATGGAAAGAAATTAAATTGTATAGAAAGACTCTCATTTATGACCAACGAAATGAAGAGGAAAAAGAGCATGGCTGTCAAAGAGAAGGGAGGCTGGATTTGATCTTTTCAGAAATTCCACATTCTTAGGGGAACGTCATCAAAATCTAAAGCTAGAGGATCCCATGTCAGCATATGCGAGATGCAAAGAAATGAAGGAAGAGAAAATGCCAGACAGAATGCCTTAATTCAGAGCACCTCCAGGAGGAAAGAATTTTTTTGTGTGTGGGACAGAGTTGGCGCCATTCTGAATGAGACCATGGTTCTGAAATTATACCCTCTGGACTTCAGCCTTGAGAGATGTATGGCTGTTTGAGGGAGGAAAGATCATTTTCTCTCTACCCTTCTAGGTTCTTGGCTGAGACCCCCTCCCTACCCCCATAATAAAGAAGACAGATTATCAGGAGAAAAACAAACAGAAGTTTAGTAATATGTATACCTCCTGTATACATGGGAGAGATCCAGGAAAACTGAGTACCTGCTCTAAATGGCTCAACTCATCACCTTAAATAACATCTCTAGCAGCTAAAGAAAAGATGTTGGGGATGGGAAGCCAGTTGTGGGAGGTTACAAGGAAAAGCACAGTAAACAAGGGTAAGGTTGTTTTGTAGATTTAAGTCCTTGCCTTCTCCACTGATAAAGAGTTTCTAGAGATTTAGAGTCATCTTTCTCTTCCTGGTACAGAGAGGGAGACACCCTTACAAATGGAGATTTCCCTTATAAATATAAATGTATCTTACAAAAGGGTAACTTCCAGGCTTTCAAAGCATTTCCTGTGTCTGCTGTTTCTTAAAAATAATCAGCCTAAAATAATCCTTATGCCAGTGAGGCATACTTTGGGGTGACAAATTCTGCTCCTCTTCAGCTGGAGCATGTGTTATGTCTTGACTGGAGCAAGATGGTTCACACCCCAGCCAGGGAATCTCCAAGGTGCAAAGGCAGGGCAACAGGAGGGGCTGACATGGCTATAAGGGTCTGGCATATGGAGGAGAAGGCATGGAAGGCTTAAAAGTGGGAAAGGGCTTATGTCCACACGAGAACCTGCACACAGATGTTTATAGCAGCT